TCAAAGCTGTGTCTACCGTTCCACTTGGAACTTTTGTAGGTTATACCGTGTATGCGGAGATCGTTGCTCGCCACTTAGACGGCTTTCTAGCCTCTGCGGAGAGCCTTCCGCTAGCAGATGCACTGATTCGTCATCTTGCTTGTATCACTTCGTGGAATGGTACTGGTAGTTCCAGCCATCCAACTGCATCTACTTTGTCTACGAATGAAGAGTTTGCGCTGTCGACTGATGCCTTGATCAATTGTCTTCTTCCACGGTATCCTGATTTGGCTGAGAACTATCTCTGGTTGAGGATTTTTAAGGCCGGTGATAAGGTGATCTTGAACTAATGTAACATTTTGGTAACTACCTAAAGAGGTCTTGAATATTCCATCACGAAAACATGCAATACTATGAACTTGACTGCCCCATCATTTTTTTTTAATCAACAAAAGATGTACTAAATTAGCGTGTGTCAAATAACACTTATCATTTGCTCAAATTTAATTCTTCCTAATACGTAAAGTTAATGAATTCAAATGGCAGGCGTTATGATAGGTATCATTAGCCCTTTAGTTGACTTCAGGCTTCACAAAGGGAGAGGAACATCAAATCGAAAAAAAGTCGAGAGGGGGGGGGGACAGAAGCGTGTTTTAAAGAAGTAAAAGAGACAGACACAAAGGTATATGAAAGGTGAGGTGAGTTCTGTGAAATTAGTCTAAAATGAAATGCAGTGAACTCTACTGTGTTGGAATCACACTACTTTCTCTGCCTTTGGAAGGAGAAATGAATTGAAAATGTGCACTGGAGGCTATGCAATGGACTTTGTCCAGTTTATATCTCGGAGACAACTTATAATATTTTAAGCCTAAATCGGTAATCGTTGAAGTGTCCATTAATTTAATTCTTATTTAACTTTACTTATCTAATCTCAGTTGCCTTCCCGCAACTTGAGCTCTTCGTGTGTCTCTTCTTTTGCTATCAAGTTTTGCTTTACTTTCAGGAGTCATCTCATCACACTCTTTTGGCGGAGTTACAATTACAGCTTCTACTGCGATATGCCGAATCAAAAAACGAGGAAAAGCTTACCTGGCAAAGGTAGGTTCTACCTCAAATTATGGTAATGGTGCAGCCTGAAAGTTGGAGGTCAATTAAATCTCTCCGCCTAGCGCACTTATGAGAAGAGGTGTCAGTTGAATGCAAGTTTCTTATCGGGGTGAAATACTTTCCGTTTACTCGAGTTAAGTGCAAATAACACATCTCGTAATGAGTTTGAGATTTTTTGAAGTAGGTGCGCTTGTTATCCTTGGTACTGCAGAAAATTATTTCGGTATTGGCAATTAAACGCGCTATTCTCTTGGGATTGTATTTCTTCCGAAACGAATATGAGGTGGGGGAACATTTTTTCAGCACTCGATTCGTGATGTAGTGTAGACACAATCAGTATTTCTGTTGAGCAGTGAGTTTCGAATCTCTTTCTCTATTTTGAATTCTGTAAAGGTAATTAAGTAATCGCTAAAATCATGGCTATGTTTTGCAATTTGCGTATTCACTTGTAAATTGGTCACTTGATCCACGCGTTCAGCTAACCTGGGCTATCAATTTCCTGCCTTCACAAGCGTTTTAAAGGGACTAAACTATTTCCAAAATTTTTTGTAGACTCCGCTTTCGATACACTCTTTCTCGCCTGGAAGATTGCCAAACAGAAAAGCTTCTTGAATCTCTAAAATCATCTTCCTCAATTCACCTCTTCACAGAAGAATATGTCACGCTTTTAGGCAAAGTGAGCTCAGGTTACTTATTTTGAGCTAAGCAGCTTATCAGTGAAGCCTATTGACTTGCTTATTATTTTGCTCTCCCAGTTAAAGAAATACGATGAAGCACTGGAGGTTCTGGTCTTGAAACAAAAGGATATTGGAGCTGCTCTTAGGTTTTGTGCTTCGTGTACAAGCATTGAGATGCATCAGAGACTGGTCGAAAATAGCACTCTTTGGAATCACCAGGAGAATGGCGACCAAACGTCTAAACCTCTAAATACGGAAAATCCAAAACCGAATGTCTACACGGTACTCCTAAAACTTCTACTTACAAGGTTTGTCTACTTATGTATGAGTGCAGATAGATTTGGCTCCTAAACTGATTTTGGGTATGTTTTGTAGTAACGACCCTTCACTACTGGAGCAATCAAAGAAATTGTTGGAAATGGAAATCCCCTTTCTTGATTTTGCAGAGGTAAGTGTTCCCATGCGTTCTCAAAGTATGGCTTACTATGCTAGTGCTTAATGTTGGGAACTTGATTTGGGTTCTTACCACTAAATAGTCCCTGATCTCGTGACCTTTGGCTTAAGACTCGGGCATGTTGACCATTCATTGCTCCACCAGCCCATGTTGGAGAGAAATATCTTCTATCACTTATGCTAGGAAGAAGACCAACAGATAAAATCACCTCGTACGAAACCCACCCCTTCGTGATCTGCAAGGAAGGTGATGCCAATTCAAATAAGATTAGAACATTTCCGGCACCTTTGTAATAATAACTCAAACCATTCAACCACATCGATTATATTGGATTGGTTTTTGGTCGGATTCATAGTTGGCTGATCAAAAGTTAGCCTTGAGCATCAGACACTGTTTCCCGCTTTCCTCTCATTTTTTTTGCTGCACAACGGGAGCCTGCACGGTGCCAAGTAGGGAGTAAAAATTGTTCCCGCGTTAACAAACGTTTACTATGGCTTTTAGGTTCTTAAAGTTTTTCCAGATAACTGGCAAATCGATCCAGCAGTTTCCACCTTTCTTACCAAAGCAATAAAGACAACCCTAACTCGAGAGTCTAAATCTAATATAGAGTTCGGACTTGTTTCTGAAATAGCATCAGCGTCGAGAGCTGAAGCCGCTGCCTCCATTGCACATGGACTTCTAGTTACCGACGCATCAAAATGCCTCCAGTGCCACCTACCTCTCAATGCCTATGGTGATGTACGACCGTTCGGTTGCATACTTAGCCATGAATACTCTCCGCCCAGCGTTATGCACTTACATTGTCTGCAGGCGAGCGGTATCCTGTGATTAAACCCCAATGATTATTACTTCAACAAACTTTGTTTCTTTTAAAAATACACATTTGTGATTTCTTGAGAATGAAAGAAAAGTCAATTTTGCGCTTATACCCCATTCGTAAGGGCATGAGGGGCGAGATTACGAAGTTGGACCTTAAAGTTGAGATTCGGAGAAATGTTCCGTGCGTTGTTAAGGAGTTCATAAGCTAAATCATAAGATAATTGGTGAAGCTTGATAAGACAACCCATGAGAACTGAGGGGGCTCGAGAAACACCGGCGTTACAGAAGATAAAAACACGGCCCTGAACAGGTTCGACTTTTTGTCTAATGAAATTGCAACAGGAATCAATGACTGGAGATAGATCGCAATCTAAGTTATCGTATAAAACACAAGACAGGTACTCAAATTGATCGGGAAATTTGTTTGGGAGAATGTTGCTAATCAAATTGACGATATGTGTAATTCCTTTTGATTGAAGGACACTTAAATCATCAGCAGCGTCTTGTGAACCTACAAAGACTCCAATCAACTGATAATGAGTCTTACCGAAACAATAGGTAGAACCGTGGACAGTAACTTCACCAATTTGTAAATCTGGGTTGTTATTAACAATAAATCCATATTGTGATATTTCATTAGTTGGATCGGTTGTTGTTGATATTACAATGCCGTTACGATCAGTCAGCGACACACGACCGTCTGATGTACGAACCTGGACAACGGTAGGCCTTAAACGAATTTGATCAAAACTACCAGCCAAGGTATTTCGATTCATTTGTGGGCAAGAAAAAACTGCTAAGTGGGTAATATAGAGAGACGCCAAAATTACGGAGGACAAGGCGATTAGGGAGAGGGGTAGGAAGTGAATCCGAAGCCAAACTCTCGACCTTGAGGCCCTAAATAAGTCATATTTGTTGACGTTCCGAGAAAAATTAATCTAATTCATTACAGCAAAGTAACCTATGGAAGTAAAATAATAAAATTTAGCACAATATATCAAGGCCTTACATTCGATGTTAAATGAATTGAATGACATGAACTGAGTAAATATCTCCTAAAGATATCTAAAATATTGTAAAACAGACAGATGCTTTCTCCCAATTAATTATCATGTGTCATGATAAATAAACCATTATTATTAAGATTTAGACAAATTTTACTAGATTAATTTGAATTAAATATATTTGAGTGAATAAGCCAATCATTTCCCCTCATCGAGAAATTTTTAGCTCAGTTTTACAAGTGACTTAAGGGATATATTATGGTACATATCCGTGAATATTTAATTTGAAAGTGAAAAAAATCTATTTAATGTCTGACCTTTAGTGATCTCAATTAAACTTTACAATACGTTGATTTCACACACACATTACCATTTCTTGCAAGATCAAATGCCGTCCCAATATGTAGATCACATTCCGATATTAAATATCTACAATAGCTACTTCAGATTGCGTTTAGTTTTGCAATAAATGCTATCTGGATACGTGGACAAATAGGAGAGACAGTTTGAAAGTGACTGAATGGCAATCCTAATCTATTTATGAACAAATACATTTTGTTTACGAATTCTCCTTCTAAGAGCTTCGTCAAATAATATCAGTTTCACAGATTGTTGGATGAAATCAGATTAGATTGTAATGCACTTACAAATGAATTGCTTGAGGAGATTCGGATTAAGCTGTTATCAACGTTCAATCATTTATAACAGGTGCTACCAAAAGTCTGCATAAATCATTTGACATGGATATTGTTTGCGTTATTGAATACTGCTTAAAAACGGTAAGAAAGTGTTATAAAAGATTAAAATGGCCACTAGTTAAGCTTCTAATTGTCGGGAATTCGTTAATTTTTGCAAATTTGGTTTAATATAGAGAGAACGTATTGCAACAACCGTATGCCAGTGAACTCTGTGTCAAAAGTCCTCTCTTTATTAAGTATCAATGACAATTAAATATTTGCAAAAATTTATTGTTATGCAAAATAAAATATTAGAAATTTAAATGCAAAAATATCTGCAAAGGTAAGTTTATTTAGAACACAGAAAAATAAATCATTTGAAAATATAATATTTATCAATGCTATTATTTAAAATTTTTAAATTGTGCTCAAACGTTTGATTTTTGTTAAAATGTTGTGATAGAGCTGAACCAGTTCAACACCTAATTGCACGCTGTTGATCTAGACGTACTATTGAAATGGGTTACGGTCACAAGTAAGTCATTTTTTCTACCAAACGATTTCAGAGACACATCTGGAGAAGTGGCATCTGGCGATCATGAAACTGGGTCAGACAATAGTTTTGAGGACCAAAATGAAAATCGATTGCAGATTTTGCTTGATTTTGCAAAGTACGATTGCTTTTATTAACTTTAATTTTAGGCTTCCTGAATCCGTTAAACGAAGGGTAAATGCTTTGAAAAATATTCTTGTTGAGTACAAAAGTGTGGAATCCGAGTTCTACCATGAGATATTTGAACTTGAAAAGAAGTTCAGAGATCGTTTCGTGCCTCTTTTAGAAAAGGTAACTGCTTTTTATATAAACATTATATTAAATTTAGCGCAATGGCATAATATCTGGTGCTGTTGATCCAACAGATGCAGAGGCAACTTGGAATTATGTTAATGATGCAGAAGCGCTTATTGGAGACTTGATCAAACAGAATTTTGATGCCCAAGATGAAAGTTTAAATGCAGTTGGTAAAATTGAGGAGAACACTGACGTTAAGGGAATTCCCAAATTCTGGCTTAAAGTGCTTCTTCATGCTCCCGTCACAGCTGAAATGATTGTCGACAATGATCAGCCAATTTTGGAACATCTCACTGATGTTCGTGTTACTTATGATAACACAGACAGAAAGATGTCATTCAGCTTGAACTTCTATTTTTCTCCCAATGAATATTTCAAGGAGCGCGTCATAACAAAGACATACTTTTTTGATAATAACTTACCAGCTGAAAATCCTCTTCTCTATGAGGGTCCTCGAATTGTCCGTGCCCAAGTCTCTCCGATTACTTGGAATCCGGGGAAAAATGTGACGGTCAAGTTCGTCAAGAAGGTGAAGAAACACAAAAATCGCAAAGAAGTACGAACGATCACCAAAGAACTGAAACAGGATTCCTTCTTTAACTTCTTTTATCCCCCTCCAGAGTCTTTGAATGATGAAGACCTTGATGAAGAAACTGAGGATTTGTTGGAAGAAGACTTTAGAATCGGTAGTTTTATTCGTGATACTCTAATCCCCCAGGCTGTGCTTTTCTTCACTGGCGAATACGAGGACAGTGATGTAAGTTCTTTAATTGATTGTATTTACAAAAATATTCTTTACCAGTATTATCTTGAAATATTGCTTTTCTGCATCTATATTGTATTATAAGACTTGATATGCGTTAATTTTATTGCTCATCCTCTCTATCCTTAGGTATCTTTTTTTTATTTTTTGATGGATTTTTCGGGATGAATAGTGAGATTATATCGTATATCCTATTTGTTTGTTAAATAGCCTTCCAATGATAATCTGTTTAGTGTACTTAAATGGAATAAATTGTAGCATCATATAACTATCTATTCTGACTATATTCATGCTTGTTTAATTTAATGAATTTTTTCGAGAGTGATTAATGTTAATCATTAAGGTAAATGTTTTAAAAATAATTCTTTTTAGGCTGATTTTGAAGAGGACGATGAAGATATGGACGACGACGATGATGATGACGATGATCTAGATGATGATGTGCGTTTTGTTTTTTTTTTGAATTTAATTTGTGCCTTTCTAATGCTCTTTTCTTTCATTCTATTAGGATGATGTACCTCAGAAACAAAGGGTATGCATTTTTATGCCCCTTTTGTCTATATTGTTATTTTTATTTCTTTCTATATTTTTCTTTTTGTAGAGGCCGCATACAAAACGTCAGCCTGGAAAGGGTAATGATGAGGCACCGGAATGCAATCAGAGTTAAAGGAGTTTCTGTGTTTATTGTGCTAGTCCTCTGTAACTGACTGACTGTAATGTGTTATTATGTACACAAAGTTATAATGGCATTTAAAAACTACTTTGTGTTCTTTTATTGACGTTCTACATTGCAGTAATGTCTGTTCCTCTTTGGTCAATGATCATTTTATGTTCGCTTCTGTGGCTCGTATTTAGTGTACGCATAGTTGGCACGATCGGATTAGTAGAGGGGTAGGTTGGGGGGAGCATATGAGTGGCATGAGTTCTCAGCTCGAGCATTCGTTTTGAAGTGGTCGGCAATCGTGAAGTGCATTTTGTGTCCACATTAGCCTGCGTCGGGAAACTGTGGGCCAAATTTGAGCAAGCGCCTATGGTTGATATTGCTCTATGCGTCCGGTCATCGGTCAAATTATCTCTTAGAGATGATTCATATGCGTGGGGATTGTGTTTTACTTGTGAGCGAGTAGATTAAAGTTCTGATATCTTGCAAAGATTAGAGTTAACAGTTAGTGATTTGCATTTCGGATACAAAGGTTAAGGGCTTTCGTGCCAAGAACGTAAATAGTCCATTTATTGCCGCTCGCCTTATCTTCAAAATCTTTGCAGTAGAATGTACTGCACCTAAATAGATTGTCATTTTGAGCTGATTTTAACTTTGAATGCCATTAAATCGATACTAATTTAGATTCTGCTGTATCAACAGTTTGACTGAGGCAAACCTGTGATTTTTCCATTCTTGTAATTGTTCGTGCGAGGATTCCTGGAAATGACCATTCATTCGTATAAAACACCATATAATCTGGTTGTTACACCCCAGGAAATTTGCCTACGTCTTTCTAGTTGCATGAATGCATTCATCCTTTAAAAGGCAACAAAATTTCATTCCTCCTAGGGGTTTACTCTGTCAAAATAGGCGCTGCGTTAATGTTAGTGCCTTTGGAAAGTAAAATTTTACTATTGTGTTGCTGTTGTAGAAGTTAATGTGCTCGTCTACAAAATGACGCAGGCACTCAACGAATTTTACTTTCTCTCCAAGACGATTCCATGCGGCTAAATCTTTGCAAAACCTTTTATAAGCTGTTTGAAGGAGATAATAAGTATTCCCTATTATATATGTGGATTGTGAAAATTCTTACACGCCAAAAAGAGAGCTGCAAAAATGAGATCTAGAGAAGTAGGAGAATTGTGCTTCGAATGAGCTCCAGAATCCTCAGACTGTCCTCCCATAATTCTAAATTAGGGAGTGTAGTGGATTGCTACGCTAGTAAATCCTGACTGACTCAGAAATCTCTATGGCAGATTCTCCTACATCTAGTTAGACTCCCAGACCCAGCTGAGCCATAGCCCAGCTATGAAAGGAAACAGACGTGTAGCACGGAGCACGTTTATTCAGTACGGATATTGCGGATAAAGTGTACACGCAGGACGCTTAATCATGATCAGGATGGCGGATTAGGTTAAACAAACAGAGGTTAATGATTGGTCACTGGTTGTACGGTCGCACCTCCCAATCTTGGCGTGCAGGCATGCGATGAGGTGTCTCACAGGAGTTACATTTGTATTTGATCTCATTTT